GGGCGGACACGCCGCGAGGCACGACGGGAGATGTAGTTCCGGGGCCGCGCAGGCGCCGTTTAAAGAGTTCTCCGGCCCGGCCCCCCCACGCGGGACTGGGATACTCAGAGCCCTGTCCAGCCTGGCCTGGGACACTGGCAGGGATCGCAGCTGCTCTGGGAAACGAGTGCCAGTGCTTCACCACACTCAGCATAAACATTTCTTCCTTATGTTCAATCTAACCCTGCCCTATGTCACTTTAAAGCTGTTACCCCTTGTCCTGTCACTCCACACTCCTGTCCAAAGTCCCTCTCCAGGTCTCCTGAAAGCCCCTTTAGGTACTGAAGGGGCTCTAAGGTCTCCCTGGAGCCTTCTCTTCTCCAGACAGAACAAACCCAACTCCTCCAGCCTATCAGTAATTAAAAAGCTACCACGGGCTGCAGCCCTTTGAGGGGACACCATGAAACTAAATCACCCAGGGGAGCACAGGGGGCTGTGCCCCCGCCTGCACAGCTTGGGCTGATGTGGCCAAGCCCAAGAGTTATAAAGCCAGCAAGGCTTTGGCCCCAGCAAGGTTGTCCTCTCCATGTTCTCAGCACGAGGGGCAGCTCTGCCTCTTGCCCATGACAGCGGTCCCTGCTGCCCGCACAGCCACCCTGCCCACACCCACACCCCTCAGAGTGGGGCTGCAGGCAGGAGGAGGCAGCTATTGTTGAGAACCCCCCAAGCTACATTCAGCTCCCAGGATGTGCTCAAGTTTTCCTCCCCGCTTGACCCACAGCCCTGCCTGTTTGATGGGGACTCAAGAAAAGATATTTTAACACGCAAAATGACGCTGGCGACATTAACTCTTCAAGACTGTTTTCTTTGTCTCAGAGCATGACCAGGGGAGGTGGTGGGATGGAAGAGCAGCCACTGACAGGGTCACCTCTCGTCCAGAGAGTGTTTGGCAGTGCAGGCAGCAGTGCAGGCAGTACAGGCAACACTGCAGGCAGTGCAGGCAGTGCAGGCAGCAGGCAGGCCTGCCACAGGGTGCATGCGCTACCCGGAGGCGTGGCAGCTGTTTCCGCTGTCGTCCCTGCCTGTTGCCTAGGGAAAAAGTTTCTCCTCCGGGCAGGCTGCCCAGCCAGCCCGAAGGCTGTAGGAGACTCCTCGACAGGCAACCCCAGGCAGCAGGAGCAGGTAGGACACGGCTGCTCCCCGCTCCTCTGCCCCCTTTGCTGCCCTCACCACCACTAGCTCGGCTGGGACCAGGGGTCTGAAGGAGACAGGGGCTACCTGAGACCACCCGTGCCCAATTCAAAGCACTTCACTGGGCTTGGGAGGGACTGGAAGGCATTGTGTGTTTGGGGGGGATTGGTGTTGCATGGTTTCCTCTCCCGCATGGCCCTGGGGGCACAGAGCTGTGGGAGCTGTGGGGATACACTCCTGTGGATTGGGGGTCCTTGGTGAGGGGAGGTTGGGGCCAGCAGGGCTTTCCCAGCTCCCCCCACCTCTCCAGCAGACCCTCATCCTCTTCCAGCTCTTCTGACATGAGTTTGCTGAGCATGCAGCTGTGCTCCTTCCCCCATGATCCCCCTCAGCTCTGTGTCACTGGGCTGTTTTCATTTTGGGGTCCCATGGGGGCTGAAAAGTGCTGAGAGGCTCTGTCCCCCATGCCAAATACAGGGTTAAGGCTGAGACATTTTGTGGGCAGAGGTCCCATCCCTTCCTCCAACCCAGCTGTGGGCTGGAGGAGGAAGGAAAACTGAAATTTCTTGGAAGGACTTGGCGTCTCTCACCTCCTGCTCTGCCTTTCCCCAGAGGACTTTGCTGGAGGATTAAGGCTGAGCTGCGCCCGCGGGGAGGCTGAGTCATGGCTTCCAAGTGCCCTGCATCCTCCTCCACACAGCCAGATGGCAGGGAAAAGGAAGTGAAAGAAGAAGAGGGGGATGACACCCGGAGCTCCACCTTGGCAGCCCTCAAAACTGCCTCCAGGGAGAAGCCCCCTGCCACCATCGATGGGCTGTGCCCCCTGAGCACGACACCAGGTGCCCAGGTGAGAGTGGGGCTGAGGTACCAGAGGGGCTGGGATGGGGGGACATGGGCAGCAGGGGGAACACCTGGGCAGTCACCTGCTGACACATAGGCAGCTCCAATTTTCCATGCAGACCCCCCTGTATCCCTGCTGGGACATCTCTGCACCCTCCCCATCCCCAAATGCTGCCCAGGTGCCAGCCCAGGCCATGCCATTCACTGTAGGTCTACGAGGACTACGACTGCACCCTGAACCAGACCAACATCAGTGCCAACAACAACAAGTTCTACATCATCCAGCTCCTTGAGCACAATGGTGCTCACAGTGTCTGGACCCGCTGGGGCCGTGTGGTGAGTCCACCCTGGCACTGCATGCCCACCCACCTCCAGCTGTCCCCAGCCTGCCTTCGGATCCCCAAAGGTTGAGGGTGAACCTGGTGGTCCCCATCCCTTTTTCCTGGTCCTGAAGCAAGCAATGAAGTGTCCTGTTATAGCCCTTTGCTTGGGGGGCTTCAAGGACTTTCCCACCCATGACATGGTGAACGTGGCTGGGGCACATGGCACCTGTCACTGCAGTGAATGTGAATGTGACATTACAACAAGGAGTCCTGGAGTCTCTTCCCATGCTGGTGGCTCAGCACATTCCTACTCCCCGCCCACCAGCCCTGCAATTGCAACCCCCCTGAACCCTGCCTGCTCCCTCCAGCATGGGGCAGGTGGGGCAGGGATGTAGGAGAGGTCCTGAGCACTGCTATCCACTGTCAGGGGGAGGTGGGCCAGTCCAAGCTCATGTCCTGCGCCTCCCTGGAGGCTGCCAAGAAGGTCTTTGAGAAGAAGTTTCGGGAGAAGACCAAGAACAGCTGGGCCTCAAAGGAAAACTTCGTTGCCAAGGAAGGGAAGTACACACTCATCGAGGTGCAGCCAAGGGTTGGGCAGAAGGTGGAGGTTGCCCTCAGGGTGAGTACAACAGGCAGCTGGGGTGTCACCACAGTGGTGACATATCCCACTCCTGGGCTACTGGACACCAGTATAGGTTTCTTACAGGACATTAAAGGGGGTCACCAGGTCCCTGACAGGTCCCGGGATGCCACGCAGACCTCGAATATTGGTAGGAGGTGATGGATGGCATGTGCTGGGTCTGGGGGCTTCAGCTGGGGTGTGCAGGTGGAGGGGTGAGTGGGGCAGAGGTACTGATGGATTTTAGAGCATCCCCTCTGCCATCCCGGCACCTGGTGGGACTGTGGATACCCCGTGCCGAGTGCCTGCATGTGCCCGTGGTGATGCTTGGAGGTTCTTGTGAGGCAAGTGGGGTGGATGGGATCACCTGTGCCCTCCCCAACACCCTCCAGACGTGAAGAAGATGCCGCTGGGGAAGCTGAGCAAGCAGCAGATCGCGAGGGGCTTTGAGGCACTGGAGGAGCTGGAGGCAGCGCTGAAGAAGCAGCCCCCCGATGCCTCTTGCCTGGAGGAGCTCTCCTCCTGCTTCTACACCATCGTCCCCCACAACTTTGGGCGGGCACGGCCACCCCCCATCAACTCCCTTGATCTGCTCCGTGCCAAGAAGGACATGCTGTTGGTGAGATGCCAGGGCACGTGGTGGGTGGCATCCCTCCCCAAGGAGGGCTCCTGCATGTGGGGCAGGGAGCTGCTGGCAGGAGTTTGGGCTTGCCCTGGTCCCCCAGTACGGTGCCCGGCACTGGTGGTGAGGATGTCTCTGGTCTGTCCCTGCCAGGTGCTGGCCGACATTGAGTTGGCACAGAGCCTGCAGGCACAGAAAGTGAAGGAGGAGGAGAAAGAAGTCCCGCATCCGCTGGATCAGGATTATGCCCTGCTCTGCTGCCAGCTTTCCCTGCTGGACTCAGCTTCCCGGGAATATCAGGTGCTCCTTGTGCCACAGTGTCTCATAATGGGGAGCAACTGTGCCATGCCTGTGGGCACACCAAAAGGTCCCCACTGTCCCAGGGGCACCCTGGGCATTGCTGGGATGGCTGCCTGTGGTGACATTGCTTTCCTGCCTCCCTCCCTGGCAGCTGATCCAAAACTACGTGACACAGACTGGGCACAACCTCCACATCCTCAACATCTGGCAGGTGGCCCGAGCTGGTGAGGTGAGGTGGAGATGATTTGCCCCATCTTACAGTGTGGAAGCCCTGGTTGCACCCCAGGATTGTGTTAGGGCTCTGGGCTTCTTTACCCAGTGGGGGCTTCAGCCCAGCTGGCCAGGGTTGCCCGCTTTCCTGCCCCTCCATCTGGGCTCTGGAGTTGGCCTGGGGTAGTGGGTGGCAGCCCTCCATGCCTGGGCATCCACATCTCCCTCTGTGGACAGCCCTTAGCTGTGCGTCTCTCCAGGATGAGCGCTTCAAAGCCCACGACCTCCTGGAGCACCGGCGCCTGCTTTGGCACGGCACCAACGTGGCGGTGGTGGCGGCCATCCTGAAGAGCGGGCTGCGCATCATGCCACACTCAGGAGGGCGTGTGGGCAAGGGCATCTACTTTGCCTCTGAGAACAGCAAATCAGCCTGCTATGGTGAGGGTCCTGGGATGAGCAAGGCTGCTTGGGATGCCCGCAGGGTCAATGTGAGCCCGGCTGCCTTCGCATGACCCCTGCCAGGCAGCTGTGGGCTGGCAGGCATGTGGACATGCCAAGCCCCTTCCCTGCATGGCAACTGGTCTTTCTGTCCCAGCATGGTCTGGGCACAACGAGATGGGAACACCAAGGGTGGTGTTATTATCTCCATCCCTTTCTCCCATGTCAGTGGG